CTCTCCAGCCCCAGCCGCCGAGGGAGGCGCCCACGGCCCGGCGCGGCGCTGGGGGAGCCGCCGAGGTGGGAGGGGGCTAGGAGCACCCCATGTGCCTCCTGCGTTCATGCCTTCCAGCCAAGAGTGGAGGACGTGGGGACCCGCTCTGCAGTGATCTGCACGTGAGCCTACAGATCTATGCATGTGCATATGACCCTGTGCATCAGGGGAGGAGAATTAGCCAGAGAGAGGTTTGCGCCGGGCTGTCGTGCAGCAAACGGTCAGGCTGCTCCGCGAAGGGCAGGGGAAGAGGGAGCAGCAGCTCCGGCGTCCGCTCACGCAACCCATCGCTGAGCCAGGGCTGCCCCAAAACCCCGAGCCGTAAGGGATAAAGCTCCCAACACCAACAGAGCAGGGAGATGCTGATGCTGTTCAGTACAACAGCTTGACCCAATAATCCAGAAAATCTGCCTCCCTTTTCGACCACCCAGGGAATCGCTCAGGTGAGGACCTGAGCTCAGCCCGGGGACTGCTACTGCCCGGACGGCAGAGGGGAAGGAGCCTGCTTCACATCATTAACTAATGCCAGCTAATTAGGCAGGTGTTGGTGTGTAGCAGCTCATTTCTTGGCAATTACCTGCCTTCTTTTTTCCGGGGCAGGGAGGGTGCAGAAGGGGGGGCCCAGGGGACCTGCCGGGCTGGGGCTTGCACCCTGCCATTCATGACCCTGCTTTAGAGCTCGACTTATTTCTTTACAGTGCCAGTATAGTCCTGGCCAGGCTCCTCGTCAAGACCGGCTGGATTAATTGATCGACAGAAGGCAAATAGACTTCACCCGTTTTAAGCACCCATTCAGCTCGTTTTTCTTAACAGCGACAGCTGCTGTCAGCATACCAAAATGGAGCTTTTGTACATGCTCTTTAGCATTAAACTACCTAAGAAAAAGAGAAGAAACAGGAACTGGTAGAAGAGTCACATTGAATTATTTCTAAATATTATTGTTTGAGCAGTGTTTGCATTTAACATGCTGGCCATACTCTTTCATTTATTCAATTAAACAATTAATTACACACCTCGAGCACAGTAACTCTGCCGTGTTTTCCCTCTGCTCAGCAGCATCCCCACACGTACACACAACACGCACATTCGACTGACAATTTGCACCTGTATTGACAGTTCCACACCGTGAACACTTCCAAGGTTACCTATTCCTCCGGGTGATGTGAAGGGATTTCTGCCTGCCTAAACAACATCTGGCCTGGCAGGCTAACTGATGGACCTCTCTGTCCAGAAAAGACACAAGCTGCAAAAGTTAAGCAAGGTTTTTTCCCTAACAAAACATCAATAGCAAGACACAACCGTAGCTTAGTCCCACTGTTGCTGCCACCTCTGCCAAAGGAGCAAAGATTCTCATTTTAGCTTACACACTATTTAATAAAACATTAATGCATTATTTCAAACCTTGCCCGTGCTTAAACTATTCATTACCTGGTAACTGTTACCCTTGCTAAGTGGCATTTTTCATCAGAACACCTGGAATAAACCCACACAGATAAGCCACAGCAGAATTAGTGTTTCTTTTTACTTAGGTATTTAGGCATCTCTTTATTGCCGTCTTCAAATATGGTTCAATAAATACAAAATTAACAAAAATGTCAATACATCTTGATTATTATTTATTAATATCCCAAATCATGGTGATTCCCTGGAGATGTCTGACTACAGTTGAAACATGAAATGTGCACAGTGTCCCTTGTGATCTTATATTACATTTGTTTCAAGCTTATAAAAATATATATTGACTTTTGAAGTATGTATTTACAGTATATAACTTGTGGTTAATGAATATCAAAAAGCATCTAGAGATGAACCAACCTGATTCCACTTTTGGTTTTATGTGAAAGAGAGAATGTTATAGTGTGTGTCAGCTGGCAAGAAGCCATGTGCTGTTTGCACCAAGCATCTTTGCAGTCCAGCTCCTTGCGATGTCACTTCAGGCTGTGTCCACAGTTTTCCTAGATTCTGGCTCCAATGAACACGATCCTTGCTTCTACTCTAATGTTTCCTCGGGTCTTTGGCCATTCCCAGGGCTGAGAGACACTTCCCTGGGCCGGGCATTGCCAGACACCAACATGCTACAGCAGCGTGCAAGCGAGTAGGGATAAGCTAGTGCCTGGCCCAGGGAAGTGTCTCCCAGTCCTGGGAACGGCTTGTGCCACGATACTGCACAGAGCTGCCGTGCCACAAGGACCTGTTCTTCTGACCGCAAGGAAAACGGGATACTGCACAGCAGGAAGGATTCAGACAAAGTACATTAGAAAGCTATTGGGAAAGGGCACTTTCTTGCCAGAGTCTCCCCTGGCAGAAGCAAGAATTACAGTAATCAGAAATATTCTCTAGCACAGGCAAAGCCAGACACCTGAGGAGAAGTTGTGCTGTGCCTTTTTTCATTGGCAGAGTTGAACAGCTAACGGAGACACACTCGTTAGGAATACGAAGAAAAGCCCAGAAACATGAGGCGTTCTGCTAGTGCAGCTAGAGAACAAAACGCACTGGGTCAAATGCAGCAGCCGGCACAGTCTGAGGAAAGTCAAGACCCCAAAGACCTTGCCTGCGTGGGGCTGATGCTCCCTGTGATCCTGGAGAAGGGCACTTAGACACCCGACGCCAGAGCACAAGCTCTAGGAACCTCTTGCAAGAACAGAGCAGAAACCTGAAGACGCAACCTAAACACATGAAAACCCAACGTCCAGAATAATAGCCAGGCAACGAGCAGACGGTTCTGTTCTGTGCACATTCATGCTCAGCCCTCTGCTGAGACCTAAAGTTTATCCTTTCTTGAGATGGAAGAATTAAGCCCCCTCCAATAGCATCGCAGTGCATTAGCAGCATGCTGATAACAGCTTTGCCCTTCAAGTGCTTGTTGCACTGGTACTTTTGTTAAGATACCAATTATCTCCCCAAAAAAGAAAATCTTGTCAGTTGTTAACAGATCGAGCTAGAGGAAACCAACGGGGCTTTGTTCAAATGTAAATAGGGAAGCTGGATGCTGGGAAGGCAGGAACACCCTCAAAGAGAATAGTCCTTGCTGGAAGCCCTTGGGAGGGATGTGTGGGACAGAAGCTGCAAAGGCTGATAAGCCTCTGGGAAGGGCTGTGGTGGCTGCTCGCTGCCAGCTCTACACAGCCTGCAAGGTCAGAGAGTGTCTTCAAGTTGCTCTGAAAATTAAGGCTGCTAGAGCAAAAGCATCTGTCGGGGCAGTGCCCCTCCTAGAAGGGCCTATTCTGGAGGCACGGTGGTGAGGCACATTCAGCCAGGAACACGCGCCAGCTCAGGGCGTGCTGCCAGCCTCGCAGAAACCTACTCCAGTGTCACTCCTCTCCTGGGGATTTTAATGCCACTCTTCCCAGCGCTGGTAGCTGCTGGCCCATGCCCCTCAACAGAGGGGTCAGCAGCATCTGGGAGGCTGCTGCAGGCATCCGGCAGCACCTTCACGCTGCCCTCTGCAACGCTGTCTCTGATGACGAGAGGCTGGATGCCTGGTTCATGTCACTGTCACTGCCAGACACCTTAGGGAGGAAAAGCACCCAACTTCTGGCTGATGGAAAGCTGTGCTTTGGTGATAGAGGGCCACTGCGCTGTATTGTCAAAGGACGTAAGATGGAAAGAGGGTCCTGCTTCACAGCTGCAAGGCACCAGTGGCCAGCAGGACGAGCTAAGGGATCTCTGGTTATTTACAGCGAGCTTCTCCTGCATGCAGTACGCTCAACAAGCCTATCTGCACATGAGCTCAAGTACATTCAGCTGCTCTGTTCCTTGAATTCATAACTTGCCTAAACTCTGTGTGCACATCTGAAATCTAATCTCCTTGTAACTCTATTTATAGGCTTCAGCAAAGCCTGCAGATTACAAAAAAAACCCCTCATTCTTTATTCTTCTCTAAACATGTCAAATAACACTAATGCTCCTGTGCAGAAGGTTAGTGTGCTCCGGCAAAGGGTACTGAGCCCTTAATAGCATCAGTGTGATTAGGGCTTTCCCATAGCTAATGGAAGAGGAAGGAATTTTGCACTTTGTCAAAGGCTGGATGGGCAAGAGAATAAAATTGTTTTGAGATGTTTCCCTCGGTCGAGCAGCTGCAAAACAGTGTTGCTAATTAATTTAATTATAAGGCAGTGAATACTTCCCCAAAGAGGAGGTGCTGATGGGATGCAAGTTAATTTTAAAAACGTAATGACAACCTATAAATTAATCTGTTCATCTTGTTTATTATCCTCAGTGTTGATGAGGAGCCCAATTAAAGGTCTTTATTTTTCCAACAAGCTAGGCTAGAGATATGGTTCCATTATGTACTCTTTTCCTAGGAGAAAAAGGTGCAACTCTAGTTGAGACTAGGAAAGCAAATGCACCTTATTTCTGCTAAGTTAGAACACAATCCCATCCACAAAATTATACTGTCTAAAAGAAACAGCTTTCTGAAATGCTACATCTGAGTCTGCCACCACAGCAAGTCAGAAAAGTAATTAAACACCGAGGTTTCTTTTGGGAACAGCTGGAGACACTCACATGAAGAAACGGTGCACTCAATTCTGATTATATTAGAGAATACAGTGCAGGAGTCTAATTCAGTGGGGGAAACACTTAAGAAATTATTGAAAAATGGTCTCACTTTTAATTGGAGTACTCTAGCATAGAGAGAACATTTTATAAGGGAAAAAACCAAATAGAACAGAAGGCAATAGCTTTATTAATTTTATATTAATTCTGTTTAGAGGTTAACTGTTATGAAAAGGACAATGACAAATGAAGAATCTGCACTTGTATGGCCATGCCAACTTCCAAATGTACTTACTGCTCCCTGCAAAGCCACCAGTCACCGGAGCCCTACGAGAAATTGCCATGAATATAGATGAACTGTGTTGAGGCTTTTTCTCTTTCCAGCTAGGCAATGTTCAGACAGATTAAGGAACAAATCCTTGGCTAATTTAAAGTGTCACAGTTCTGTTGAAGTCAGTATAGCAACAGCACTCTGCACCAGCCAGACGGCCCCTTCTCACTTCGGTAACTTTGGAGACAGGGTCTATTCTGAGCAGTTCAAGAGAAACGTCACTTAGCCCATCTCTCCTGAAGCTACGTGTGGATCAGGGTCACTGCCACCCCCAAGGCTGAGATATTAGGGAAGACTTCCCACCCTCTAGCCATCACCTACCTCCTACTGCTCCCATTCACCATCCTCGTGATCCCTGCATTTGCAACTGTGCCTCTTCCTCCCCACTCTACGTTCACATAACACGTTTCATCAGCCAAGTGGCTCACAAAGAACTATTCCTTGCCCACAAACCTCCATCACAGTCACTCCTACACGCAAAGGTTGAGACATTTCATAATTAAATTAGATTTCTCCTTCATCTCCTTAACTTCACCTCCTTCTCCATGAACAACGCCCTGTTGCCTCTGCAGGGGCTGGAGAGAAAATGCATCAGAGCTTACCAAGTCAGTCTGTCACTTTTGTCAATGTTTCCTTCAGCTGTAAGGCTTTTAAACGACCTAAAAATACAGGAACGTTCCTTGGAATAATATTTAATCTGTTAGAAAGGGAAATTCACATTCTAGTCTAGTTTTTATTGAAAATTCATTAATCTTCTATGAGGCAGTATATGCTCTCTCTTCATCTGATCTCCTTTACCAGGCATCTAATTAACCCACACAGCCTTTATCACTGCACAAATACAAGCAGCGCCCAGCCCAAGACAGCCTTGCTGCTAAACATCCGTCCTCCAGCTGGTTCTAAGAGAAGCCCCTGGAAAGAGCCACAGTCGCTGAGGCCTGCACCAGCAATCCCTCAAACCACCTCAACAGGTTATACTCTCATTCAGCCAGAATGATATCCAGCTGCTATTTAAAGAGTCCAAGCGACTGGAGAATTTAACACCTCCCCTGTGATCTATTCAGTGCTTGACTACCATCACTATTTCTGCAATTTAGTTCCTCTTTGCTGACTTCAATTCCCCCCCACAGGATCTTGAAATACTAAGAGAGCCCTCAACCATCTTACACATTACAGATCTCCTGCTAACATTTTTTGCACTGAACAGGCTGAGTTATCATTACCAGGCTCATTACCAGGGGTGTTTTCCAGACCCTGAAGCACACTGTTCCCTTGTCACTGAACCCTGGATTTTCCAGCACACCACATGCACCAAACCAGACGCAGTCCTTGCAGCAGCAATCCCCTCAGAGTGGTTCCTAGCACCCAGAACAGAGGAGGCTCCTGGAAACGATCACAGCAAACAGGACAAAAGCAGGGAAACGTGGAAGAGGTGATCAGGAATCAAGTTGGTTCAACTCCCTACCTAGAGAACTAGAATATACTTTCTCTATAGATAAAATGTAAACATAAAGAGCAAACAAATTGCACTTGATCCTTGGGATCTGGCGTTTCTACCAAATAAAGGTTTCGGTTCATAATTATTACTCTTCTGGGTATGAAACAGCAGGATGTAGGTTGACTAACTGGACTGGACAAAGGTGAAATTTGAAGACAAATAACTTCCTTTAAAAAAAACTAACCAAGTGACATGGGGAATGCTGCCTAAACTGAGCAAGTGGCAGGAAGGAGAGAGTTTGTTTACCTCAGGGAAAAGCAAACTCCTCAGAGCGCACCCAGAACTCATTTCTGAAAGGCATGCTCATCTCGGCTTGCTCTGTCTGGTTTTGTAGCATAAACAGCAGGCCCAGTTCTCCACAGGGGCAAGATTTCTTATCGCTAGCTTTGCACACAGTTGTGCTGTGCTTATTCACATTGCTCTTCGTGTTTATTACTGGGAGTTCTGAAACCTGCAAAGAAAGAAGGCAGCTTTCTCAAAGTCAGCCTGCACCACCTGAACAGCAGGGATTTGAGATCTACTGAGGAGCATTTATGGTATTTCACCTTGACATTGCCTGGAAACGTCAACATAAGGCAGAAAATTTATAAACAAACATTAGCTGGGACCTCCTTGATACCACTTATTGGTGAAGTTCAGACAAAAAGTTCTGATCTCTTATGCAATCAAGTTAACATATCTGTATAACGTGAAAGCGTGTCGGTCTTCGACACTTCTGAATCTAAACTGGTCACAGCAGCCAAGCCAGGTGAGTTGAGGGCTCAGTTTTACTCAGGTGCATGTCAGCTTAAAAAAAACAATCACCACAAACAAGGCTTTACTAAACTGAAGTTGGATCCCTAAAATGTCTTGTTCCACAAGGGCCACCAGACCAGACACAGACATTAACGCATATGACGAGCCTCTTCGCTTAGTTGCTCTATTAGAGCAGAAGTTACACCTGGGCAGTATGTAGGTGCCATGCCAGCCCTGCAAAGAGGCTGAGGAGCTAGGGTCCTTCTTTTAGTTGTGATTTAGATCTTTATCCCCGTGGTGCAGCCTAATAGGAATATCTGGCTCAAAATGCAAACAAATTTCTAACTGCACTGTGAATAGCATTCATTCCCTTTGTAAGTCTTTGTCTTTCATCATCAAAAAATCACTTGTAATACTTACAGATGATAATAAAAAGCCTACAAAAATCTGTACAAGGCTGCAAAGATTCCTTTAATTAACTTCAGTCATGGATCAGGCCTGAATCAATGGAAAAAAAAGTGTGCAAGGGATGCAGTGCTAAGTTACGACTTGCAACAAAATAAAGTGCTGTTGTGCCCTGATTTGCCCAGACTCCATGGTAGCATTTCAGGGATCCCATGGATGCAATAGTCAGTTCTGCCCAAATCCCAGCGTTTGGCCAGTATGTGCTGTCCCAGCATCACAGGCCCTGAAGCAGCCTCAAATAATCAGACAGCTTGGAGCGCTCTCTACTGCAAGAATTACATATGCTGTGGGGCACGCTGGCACTACAGCTTCTCACACACAGCCCTTCACAGGGCTGTTGATCAGTGATGCAAAACTGACATATTCTGCAACGGCTGAGGACGATACTCCAACCAGCCTTTTCCTTCCCCATTCTCGGCAGGGTGCTGGGCAGTCTGCCTACTGGAGGAGAAAGTGAAAGTTACTCACCTGCAGCTGAAGTGGTTCTTCGAGTGGCTATGGGCACAGTCATGCAGGGAACACCGAACAGCCATGCTTGCTGTCTCTCTAACCCTAAACCAATTCCAAGGTTTTCATCCTGTTTCTAGCTGAAGTGGGAGGTTCTTTTCTGCCGGTGTGGTTTGAATTAGTTCCATTTATAAACCCTTTTTCCCCTGTAAAAATTTCCAAACCTATAGAGGGAAGAACATTCGCTCATTTACTGCTCCAAAGTAGGGTGGACCCTTCTAAGTGGGATGCTCTAACTTAGCTAACACCAGGAAGCTTTCCCAGGCTCTGGCTCCCACCTGCCTTGCTCAGCCCACAGCCGTGAGAGCGCACTGATGCTCTGCCCTCTTTGCTCAGCCTCGAACCCACCTAGTTCTGATGGATAGAGCCTGGGCATCAGTTGTTGTCTTTACCTGAAACTACCCTGTTACTCAGCATTTACCTGGCCATGGTCTATTTGTGTACTGTTGTCCTGATCCACAGGATCTGTGGGGCTTTCCCATAAGGCTGAGCATCGCGATAAGATTGCAAAGTGAGCACTATTGCTGGAGAACTTTACAGTGGTCTGTGTCAGTGCAAAGGGCGATCAGATCCCTCCACTCTTCCAGGCTCAAGACAAAATTATGGTGTCAGGACCAGCACAGAAAGTACAGAAAGTAGTGGAGGCGAAGAACACTAGCATGGTGGCAGCCCAAAGGGTCCAGCTGCTTCCCTTCTCCCCACTGTAGCTCTCTTAGTCAAAGCTTTTGATTTTTTTCCCCCCTGAAATCATCTTGTCAAAAGACCATTTATCACTGCTTGCTCTGCATTTTGGTGGAGAACGTTTGTTTTTGTTCACCAACAGTGGTGTCAAGACTCAATGAGGTAACTCTTGGAGTGGAAGGGACATGGCTGGGAAGGAGTTCCCTTTCAGCATACCAGATGGGCAAAGTCACCTTCCAGAAGTTGGGTGCTGGATGTAAGCTGTGCTCCAGTCTCTAAAAATAAAAGCAATCAAAATTCCTTGTGGGGTCAGTAGAACATGTCAGCTTGTATGAAAAGTACCCATGGATTACACCAGTAGGACGCTAAATACTAAAATGCTGTCAGTTCTGGATTAAAACAGTGCATGAATGTCCATCCACCCTGTTAACTTAAGTACCATATGAAATGGCATCATTATAGTTTGACTCATCTTACAAAACACTGCTAGGGAAAACCACATCCACCCAGACACACTGCATTACCGCACATGTCCCAGGAATACTTGGCCTCCCTGGCATAGGGGAAGGGCAGCCCTGCTCTCTTGCCACATGGAATGACTTGTTTGGCAGCAGCCCAGTGTTTCCTACATCCCATCTGCTCAACTGCTCTCAGCAAGATTTCAGAGATTTGGTCCAGTCTGGGGCCAGTACACAGCTGGCTGTCTCCTCCCCAGGGAGTGTTAAGTGAGTGCTCTGCACAGTCTGTTTGGGGTTGCTTCACACTTGCACACCTCGGCCATGCATTTGTATCACCTGGGCCCGGAGAGTCTGGATCCCACTCAGGATGGTCTTCTGATGCTCCACCAGCGTGATCCCCAGACTCAGGACATCTCTGGAAAACAAGCCCCACATCAGCAGTGGAAAAAAAGCCCTAACTGTGCAGTGCTCCTAATTCTGATTGCTTTCCAGGAATGGGCAGTGCAGATTTCAGACTATCAGGCTATTTTGAACCTGCAGGAATAAGAAATCCCCATCCTACTGTCCCAGAAAAAAACAATGTGAAGTTTGACAGGGAATCCAGGGGTAGCGCATGCCTTCAGCATGCCATTTGCATGACAGTTCCCCACCCCGCTGCAAGACTAGGAGAGCCCTGTACTGGCAGAAAAAAGATTATCAGTAAATTGCACCTTGATTGGACATTGTTTTCTGGAAGGGACAGGTAACTCACTATTGCTGTCAAAAACTACAGGTTTAAATTTCAGTTTCAAAAAACAGCAACTGGGATGACAACACATGCTGCCCAATCCACCCCAGTGAGCTCTTACAGACATGTTCTGGAAGACCTGTGCTCTTACTTTGTGACAATTGACTGTAATTTAAAAGCAGAGCTTGTTCACACTGCATCCATCCATACGGGTTTATAGTCAGGAAACCTTTTCACTTACTGTACTGTCATCCTGGCCACAGATTCCAGGTAGCAGTAGCCTGCAGCTGTGAAGTTATCTTTGTATCTGCCCATTTCTATTGCTTCCAGCCACTCGTTGACACAGCTGAAAGATGGGAAGGCTGAGAAAGTACGTTCGGTGAGGGGAATGGATGTGCTGTGGGACCTGCCAACATAAAAGGAGCATGTAAGGAGATGAGCGCAGGGGGATTCACTCCTACATCTTAGGGAAAGGACTGCAGGCTGCCTCATTGACGATGCATCAGAGGACCTGGTTGGAAAATGGGGTGATCTGGGTACAACAACTTCAAAATTCACCCCAAATCCCATGGAAGAGAAGACGGTGCTTGGCTACGGACAAAGGCTAGGCCTTTGTGCTCTCTGGGATGGGTATCTTTGGGAGTTTTCTTCAGTTCTGCAATAGCTTTGCCTCACGGGTGTCAGCAGAGTCGAAAGCAAAGCAACGTTCTGTGATCTTAGCAGAGTCAACACAGCTAATGCTGCGGGGAGTATAGCCATCTCCTGATCCCTCTACCCAAAGACCCAGAGGAACCAAACCTGATCTCTATGCATTGACTTAGGTGTAACCGCTCTGGAGGTGCACCAGTTCAAACAGGTTTTGAGCCCCGTGCCATCCAGTAGCTGAACCATGTACCTGGTGGCAAAGGTTCAGTCTGTCTCACAGTGCAGAATGAAAGGGAGTAAAGTAGAAAGGCAGTCACCTGGTGCACGTGGAGTTGGGGCACTTTGGGGGCTCTGGGCTCTGCACCATCTTGCTCAGGATGTTGTGGATGTGCGAGAACTTGGGTCTCTCATTGCGATCCTTCTGCCAGCAGTCCAGCATGAGCTGGTGAAGAGAGGGCTGGCAGTTCATCGGGGCAGGGAGGCGGAATCCATCTTCTATAGCCTTTATCACCTGCAAGGACAGAGAAGGGCAGGGCCAGAGAGAGGAGATGAGGAAAAGACTCTGAGCTGTGGGAGTTAGAAAGAGACACTAACACAGACTGTATGCAAAAAAAGCAAACCAAAAACAACCCCCATGGCATACCTCCCTCTTCACCACCCTGCACTGGCGAGTAACAGCAGCTCCTTTGTGGACTCCAGAGACTACAGCGGGCCCATTCAAGCCACGTGCACATTATTAGCAATAGCAACATCCTAATCTACCACATAGGCTGCCATGGGACTCACATCCTGGTTGGACATGTCCCAGTAGGGTCTCTCTCCATAGGACATGACTTCCCACATGACGATGCCAAAGCTCCACACATCACTGGCAGGACTAAAGTGGTGATACTGGATGGCTTCAGGGGCTGACCACAGCACAAGGCTCTTCCCACTCTGGCCAGGCAGAAAAAGGGAGGAAATGATGTTCTCGCAGACAAAAGAACTAGGCAACAACTGAAACAAGCAATTTCCACGGCTGCCGTTCAATGTGCTTTCCACCTGCATCACAGGGGAGGCACAAAACAGGCCTACATACTGCATGCAGCTTTCATACTAAGAGAAAACTTCTGTCTCAATTTGTTTTAAAATGGACATGCAACAGTATGCTACATGAGAGCACAAGTCCTGAAATATTAATGGGAGAGAGAAAGTCTCAGGGAAGAGCTGATGGCATTTTACACATTAATATTTAATGAAAACCATCTCAGAGCTCTGCAAACCCAGTCCCTCCATCCTGGCTTGCTCTCCTATAACGAGCACCCCCCTCCCCAGTGTCTGCAGAACCCTTCTGGATGCACTGGGAATGCAGGTGATGGACACTGCAGCTAATTATAATTAACAGGAGGGAGACCTGGACCCCCAAAGCCAGGGCCCCGCTTCACAGAAGGGGAGAGAGCCAGGGCTGCTGCTCATCTCTCCACTGCCCTTAGCTCGGCCAGACATGCCTCGTACCCAGCAGCACATCAGTGTCAGGGAAATTCCTCTCTAGAGCTTTGCAGACAGCACTGCCATAGTCCACACTATGGCTCTGCATGCGTCATCACCCATTCCAGATGGGGTAGTGTTTTGTCAGGGACTCTGCAAGATAGTGGGGCTTTCCTTAAGGAGTGCAGTGAGCGTGCCTCCCTACAGACAACGATAAAGGCTAAAAGAAATTTTCTGAGATGCTTTTTCACCTCGGCCTGATCAGAGCTAGTAGACAGCTGCAGACCTGAAAGACTGGGAGCCAAACCCTACAGACAGGCTGTTCTCCCTGGGACGCCTGAACCCTGCACTAGGACACAGGCACCACAGCACCTGAAGCCAGCACACTTCAGGTGCTGCCTTCTTAGTGCTACCCAAATACCCCTGCAAACAATAAAAATCAATGTTTTTTTAATATTATTAAAGTCTAGTTAATATCACGCTCTAACAGGTTCTGCTGATGTAGGATGGCTCTGGGTTATCAAATGAAACATTTTATTGCTTCTCAGGTAAAAATACTGATTTCTTCACTGTCAAGTGAAATACGCTAAATTGGACTGTGAAAACATCAGAGAGCAGCTTCCCATGGACGCAGCAAACCCAGAGTGGGGGATGCACTGACTCCAAGTACTGCAGTGCAACTGCACAGCCATCGCGCCTGGGCTGAAAATCTGAAAATGGAGGAAGCCGCGCCAGATCCACGCTTGTGGATTCTCAGGCAGTTTCTCCAAGTGTATGAGCACTTCAGAGATGTATTGGCTCGCAGAGCTGAAGAGGCATGAGTATGAATTGAGGAGGACTTAAACTCTTGTAACGAAATGCATGGTTTTCAATTAAGTGATAAAATAGACATAACCAACCCTGAGACTGCCAAAGCCGCCTTCAGCCACCTGCCTTCTCTCTGCCAGTTCACACACACATGCACAGAAGATTACAGCACGAGGAGAAAGAGCGGTGTTACATGGAAAGCTGTAGAGTTCCCTAGCTAAATGTATTTGATTTCCAGCTGAGAAAGAAACTGTTAAGATGCAAAGACGGCATTCATACGTGAGGAAGAGAAAACATGAGCCTAGGAAAAATACTGTTTCTGGAGTAGGAAGTTGGCTGGCTTTGGATTTGATCCCTAGTCAACATTCAGAGCAGGCCTGTAAACCTCTCTGGTGATGCTAGGCCCCAGTCCAGGTGATCCTCGTCACAGCTGTGCATTGAAACCAGGGAGGATCCAGTTCTGCAAAGATTTTGTAGCCATTCTATCAGCATTTTGCTTTTTGGAAGAGTTGAAAGCAGAATTTGGAAATGTAGGCTTGTCAAAGCAAAAGGAAGCTTTCTGCCAAGTAACGCCAAGCATAAGTAGAGATGTGCAGGACACCAGTGCTCACCCTGCTTGTTCTCTCTCATTTACACCTCTCTTGGAGGCAATAGGAGAGGGCTGAGGTCTAACAGTTATTCCATGTCAGGTCCAAATCCCTGAGAGTGTGCTCCTTTACCTATGGACTCAGGCTTGGAAGTAGACTTCTGATTACCACCTGGATCAAATGTATGTTTCTTCTTCCTCTAAATCTGGTTAAGATGCGGAAAACAGGGTCTGCTACCACTCTGTGTGGGAGATTTCTTCAGCCTTATACCTTATGCAAAAGATATCCATGATTTTTACACTACCAACAAAAGAATGTCTCCAACTTCTGAATAAGACAGAGAGCACTGTGCTTTTCTAAATCTTTATCAAGAGATTTAAAAAAAAAAAGAAAGTCCCCACTTACAAGCAAAAGAGATAGTTTAACAATCACATTATTTAAATAGCTCACTTTAGTTTTCCTTAAGAGTTGCTTTCACTGTCAATCCTATGCAACTTCAGAACATGCACTTTCTCCTCACACTGCATAAAAAGTTGATGGCCTAGTACCTCAGTACATTTAGTGAAAGATTTAATCTCCCATACCTCTGCTCTAGTGCAACACTTGGACAGCCACCAGACACCTACAGCTTACCATAGTGGTGAAGATAGTCTCCATTTTGTCTTCCTGTGGCTGTCTGAAACCAGTTATTTTGCAAGTCAGGTTGCTGTTTACAAGGACTTTGTGGGCAGCAAGGCTTTTATGTACGTAACCCATCTCTGTCAGGTACTTCATGCCAGAAGAAATTCCCTGCAACATGCCAATGAGCTGGGTGGCCGTGAACTGTCCCTCATGTTTCTGTAAGAAAGGAGGGGAGAAAGCCACAAGTCAATGATGCCCAATTCAAGGAACTGAAGAAATGGGAGCACCGCCAGCTGTACCTGAGTGGGTGACAGATCCCAGCAGTTAACATCATCTCCCACAGCACTCACCCTGAGAAAAGAATCTAGCACTCCGTTCCCCATGTACTCCATCACAATCATCATGGTGTTCCCTGGACAGAGACAGACAGAAAAGGCGCATTTCATGATTTCTGCTTATTGCTGCAGGCTGTTATAAACATAAATGCAGAGCGAACCTCCTAGCCCTCTATCCTCCCCTCTTCTAAAGCTGACATTTTTGCCAAATTTTCAATATAATTTTCCTCTATCATAATCTGCTGTTCCAGGGAACTATGAAAGGAAGATGAACAAGGCACATTCCAAAAAAGCGCAATTTGAATCAACAAAAGAAAGGATTCTCCCTCACTTTTAAGAGGAATATACTTCCTCTTAAGGTTTCTTCTATTAATTGCACCTAGAGGAATACCAGGAGTGAAGCCGAAGGCCTGGATTACATGGACTCCTTTGCCACTCCGCAGTAGGCTATTCTGTCCAGATAGGACCTTTACTTATCTCATACAGAGGTGCATTAATTCCCTCAACTATGGATTAGCTTGAGCAGCCAAGAGGATACTGAGCTAATGGTGCAAACAGAGAACAAGGAGGAGATGCACGTGGCACAGACGTAATCTTGGCACACTACAAACTGCACTGATGAGGCTACACACGTGTCAAGAAGAGACATGCTTATCTGCTAGTGATAGGGTATGGATAATGAGAGAGAGAAATTGGAAATCCTATTGATGAAAAAGAATTTGACATACTTGACACCACTGAAACCTAGTGCAATAACTCTTGTGGCTGGAATGTCAAAATCATTGCTATAGCCTGCTTGGGAGGAGCTAACAGTGGTGGGTGGAAGACACTTCTCATTAAAGACACTATTATGTCTTTCAGAATTATTGATAACTCAAGACTCATAGGATCACGAGTGCTATGTCAAGATCAATATGCTAATAAAGCCCAGGGAGGAAAAGGGGCCTGGCAGATGACCAGAGAACAGGCTGAGAGTATTTTATGGATTTAGACTTGGTTGAAAAGGCAACTACTTATCCTTCTGCCACGAGTTAGATTTTCTGTACAGAAGATCCTCTGATCAAAGAGCAAGCACTATCAGGCTTTAGTAAGTGTGATAAATGGAAGAAGATCTGGCTAACAGGAACTGAAAAGTAGTCACAAATAGGAAATCTTCATTAGATGGAGTGTTTCTAGAGCTGTTCTGGAAAGATTGGTACTAAGTCTGCCATTTTCATCAAAGATTATGACATAGACACAAGTTCACTGATAATCTAGCTTGCAGATGCTACATGGACTTATCAAATATCTAGACAAAACACTTCTAAGAAGTTTGGGTCTCTTGATAAGCAGAGCTCATTTTGACAAATTATGTCATTAATTTGCTGGATGAAAATCTTTATGCCTAGGAACAAAAAAGACCAACTTTGTAAAGAGCAGCTCTGAATAAATCACCTTTGGGGTCACCACAAATGAGTAACACAGCTTGAGGTTCCAGCAATGCGAGTGGCAGAAAGCACTGTTGTGATTTGTGGATGTGTCAGTAGGGCAGCTGTGAGTAGCGCTCGAGTGATGATTTTACTGCTGGGACATCAGTCTGACTGCAGTATTTCAATAGGTACCAAAAAATCTGAACACTAACTTCCAGTGTGGCCAACCTGAATTATCCGAGTGCTAGACTGGCTGTTAAGGGAGACAAGGGTGTCATCTCTGAAAGTCTGCCACGAGCCGTGGGTCCAAGGCTTTCCTGTGGTTCTACTAGGATTCCAAAATCAGATGTTTCTTTTATCAGGACATTGAACCACACATCAAAGGATGAAGGCATTACTCAGTGAAAGCAAAATTGACCAGCTCAGCCCAAGACTCAGAGCAGAAATACCTCCTTACCTATTAAAAGAGCTGGTTAAAACCACCACATGTGCTCACGTTTCTTTGGATTTATGTGAATATTTATTCAACTCTGGCATCCGCAGGCTAGTTCGGAACAACGTGCTCCCATGAGAGCCGACAGCATTCGCAGTCATCTGTTTTACTGACAGAACTTCATGTCGATTCACTTTTATTGAGAGTGCACTGTTTTGTTGCTCAGCCAGCCCTACTGCCTGGCTTTACTAATCTAGCTGTAAGCATTTTATCAATCATCCGGATACTAAATAGCTAATACATGAGGATACACTTGATTTCCAGAGAACAAGAGTACTGCAGCTCCAGCTCTAGTTCACCATCTTCCAAAGCAACAACTTAAGTGCATTCTGGGATTGTTGCTAAGGCAAGGTTTTCATGTCTGGGGCCCAAAATTCACGGTGGATAACCAGAAGAACAATCAGTATTCTTCCAGCTTCCACCCAGGACAATTACTTACACTCACCTTTAAATCATCAAGTAAAGTAGGCAGCGTTGTTGTCACAGAATCAGGCAGGGAACATATCATATCACTTCACTTTGCTGGGCACTAATAATCACATAATAATTCTGAAATCACTTTGTATCCACTGAACAGTACAAGTGCCATGCGATCACACAACCACTGTCTAATCACCGCTCCTTTACCCTGCCCGCCCGTCATCACCATCAGCACTCTACTCGCCCCGAGTTTCACTTGCTTGGAATTGCTGCTAGCCTGGAGCAAACAGGTCATTACTGCTGTGTGCAGATTTGATGATGATTTCTGTGTTTCTGCAGCAGTGTTATGTATTTCTTAAACAAAGTACCACTGCCTAACTCCCACATTTCCATATCCATAAAGTCCCAGAGCTCACCACTGTGCTGTGCAGGGCTGTCTTTGATGATAAAAGTGCCAGCAGCATGGCTGCTGCCAGTGATAATCATTCTACCAAATGGGAAAGGTGGCTGTAGAAACTGCCCATGTTGGAAAGGCGTGGTCCCGTTTACAAGTCAGGTCATCCTCAGAGCTGGTACAGCCTGCCTTTTGTGGGGATGCTTTAAATACCTTGCAAGCAGGCAACTGCATGCATGTGTTCAGGTTTACTGCGCTCCCTCCAACACTTGTACGCTGTTAGATTAGCCAGAGCAGTAAGTGAAATGAGGGCAGGTCTTTCAACGCTCTCTGCAACTGCACAACCTTGCCCTCAAAAACGGGGAATAAGAAAGCCACAATTTTCAGGTTGAAAATTATGAGATAAACACATCAGTGCCATAAGCCTAACACCTTAGGCTGGACATATCATTAAAAATAAATAAATAAATCATCCTACACAGAGAAATCATCCTATGAGAATGCACTGTAACAGCCAGGACTTACCAGTAGACAACAATGGTATATAACATTGTAATGCAGGGGCGGATTTTGCCTCACCCCTCTTGGAAACCTGCATAAAGGCCTTTCTACACTGTGCGTGGCTCAGACTAACGCTTTTCATACAAAACAACAGACTATCTTTACCTCTAGTGATGACTCCCTCCAGGCGGATGATATTGGAGTGGTCAAATTGGCCCATAGTGCAGGCCTCCGCCAGGAAGGCGTGCTTCTGCTTCTCCGAGCACCCAGCCCGAAGAGTCTGGATTGCAACTGGGAGCTCTCTCTTACTGGGCAACTTCAGACATCCCCGGCAGATTTGTCCAAACTCTCCTGTGCAGCAGAGAGATGAGTTAAAAAGCATCCGTGGCTGTGGCAGTAAGTCCCTCGTATCCTGTTATTAAACACCTTGCAGCCTGAGAGAACCCCACATGCAATTGTTTTCTTATCATCCCTTTATATGCTGTAATAGACCACTCTGTCATTTTCAGACCATGAAAAAACAAGCTATTTTTCTAGTTGACTTTATTTATGGCTTCCTCAAAGCTCTCAGTACCATTGTGTAAGGACAATGTTTTACAGAGCTGTTGCAATGCACTACGAAGACTGGTCATAACATCTGCTACAAAGCAAAGGGCAGCAGTCCTCTTCTGGAAAGCCAGACAGTTTCTCTTAGGGGATATTTCCTTTGTTCTGGAAACAAAGTGCATTTCTGTAGCACAAGTGATGTCTTGCTATGTAAGACTTCCCAACTGTTAATTAGAGGTTTTGCCAATCCAGAAACTCAGAGCCCTGTGTGGCTGCAGCCACACATAAATGTCTCTCCGTAAAGTCTGCTTACCATCTATCACACTTTTGTTAATCACACAGACCTTGAACGAGTTTAGTATCAGCATGTGACACTAAAAATTGTGTGTGATAATGCAATGGAATTTCTTCTTCCTCTTCCTAGGTCTATGAGCCATACTCTCCATGCTTCGGTCAAGTGCATACTGGACTTTTTTTTCCATTAAAAAAAGATTATCCCCCAGCCACCGAGTCTGTTTGTGTTTGGGTCCGACCCATTCTGCCTTCAAGCTTATCACAAATACAAGGTCTGCTTTTCAAGACAGCAAAGCATAGTTAAGGCCATGAGTGTCTCTGCTGTGCCTGCGGCAGAGGATCCCACTCTTTACAGCCACACACTTGACCACAGAAGCTACCAAATTCATAAAAGGTCAGTGTTGCCTTCACAGGAAAAAAAATATGTAGATTTGAAAAGCTTTATTGATTTGAAAGCTAGGTACCTATCAGATCAGCAGTGAGACAAATGCACTCCTAAACTCCTTATATTTAACTTCCTAATTTATTTCTTGATTTTCAAACACCAATTTGCTTCTGAAATATATCCGGAATTACTGTCTCAGTTGCTCTACTCAGCAGCTAAAAAGATGCCTCTTCCACTCAACACCCTCTTTCCTGAAATACCGTCCTTTAAGCTGGTAGGCAAACTCTTCCCTCTTCCCTGCCTCCACTTCTTCATTTTCCCCAGCTGAATTTATCTTTAGGGAAAAAAATGACAAGAATAATCATGTTTCCCATGTTCTGGCACACATTAGCGATTAAAGCTCCAGGGCCCAGTAAGGGGATTTTAATTTGCTTTTAAGTTTTAAGGCAGTGAAGTTGATGAAAATCAATAAAACATTAAGTTCACATATTTATAAATAGTTTTTGTGCTGCTGTCAAACTGCCCAGATGCAGATAACTGCTGATGCTTTCTGGTACGCTCCTCACTCTGTTGGCTGTACTTAGTGCCTCAGAAAAACAATCCAGAACGCTCTCGTACAAAATATAAACCAATCGTACTCCCATCTCCCTGCTATATGCATATAAAACCCTCTAAGATAAGAGCAAGAGCAAAAATCCATAGTGCTGATGGTAACAGAGAAAAAAGGGCCTTTAAAGACTCTAGCAAGGTGACCCAAATCCCGTAAGCAGTGACAGTAGGACAGGAACGCTCTCACACCACTTCAGCTCAGGCAAGGCCATAGCAGCAACTTGAAGGCATTGAAAGGACAATGCCTGACACCTATTTCTTTCAGGGGCTCTAATTAGAGAATTTTGATTTAGCATAATATAGACACTGTATAGCAATCTAACTAAACCACTGACTGGCTAGATGATCAGCACCTGAAATGTGTTTGCAAAGCAAAGGCCTTACTTTAAACCGCATTTAAATAGGTTTCCTTTCAACATCCTGCCAGAAGCCTGTTCCGAAGGACACTTCTAAATCCCTCTTGCAGGTTTAGGATGGAGGAGTCGGTCTTTGGGACCTGGCAGAACCCGGAGCAGTGAGAGCAAATACCAGGTTTTCATATCAAAACAGAGCAAAGAGGGTAAGCCTGTACCAAGAGTTTTCCGAACATCGCTACTCAGATGCTAACTCATTTTTCCAGGTCCCTCGCAGCCAGTTTGGGTAAATATTAATCATTAAGGAATGGCAAAGAACACATAGACAGTGATAAGGACTCTCCCTATCCAGTTGTTCATGCGCATCCAAAATTGGGCACCTCCAAGTATACGCAAATAGAAATGGCAGTAATACTCCACTGTCTCCTTTCTCAGCTAGAAGAAAGGGCAGCTCTGGGAGCCCAGGGTTGAAATAGGCTGAGCCTCCAACTTCTCCGAATTCTTGCAAGCATTTCATGTTCTGTCCCACTTTCCCATCTCCCTCTGGAAAGAGCACCAGATAACCGTCTCATTGGGATCCTTTTTTGCCAACGTGACTCTCAGTTCAGAACTTCTACCTGGGGGCTAGGCATCAGCTTCACATGCACAAGGGACACCCTGGAGGCTGGGCTGGCTCTGCCTCATCAAGTGTCACTGCTGTTGCATTTCCCTTCTCTCCAGCCACCGGCCTCTGCATCCTCCCTGTGACCCCAGGAACACTGCAAGGAATTGAGCAGCATGCTGGGGGGTGAGCTGGCAAATGCCCCAGTTGGGAATACAGCCTGCAGCCACCAGTGCATGGTCACTGCCACTATGGCACAGCCAGAGGTGTAACAGCATCACCCCTCAGGAGAGGGGCCTGGAGCCCTCCCTGGTGGGCTAGGGATGTGGAACTTGCCTGTCCCGATGATCCTCTCAATTTTAATATTAGAGTTATCCAATTCTTTGGCAAAGAGGTGCACAGCCTGCACGGGGTCTTCACAAGTGTCAGGGTTGATGTACGTCCTCCTGGTTGGTATTTTAACTGCAGAAAAGTAGGGAAATATACAAGGAATGCATGAGAAACGTGTGCCAGGACAGTTTCCTAAGGCTCTGCCCAGCCAGGACGTCCCTGAGATGGGATGAGATTCAAACACTTTGACATCTCACCTCACTTCACTCCGCATGCCCTGCACAGAGCACACCTGCTGCTCCCTGACTTCCATGGGCTTTCACTGAGGCCTCTGGGGGCACACTGCATCCTGCATTCTCTCAGCATGAGCCCAAGGCTTGTCTTTGGGACAAGATGTCCTCTTCCAAGGGGATTTCACTCTGACTTGGCAGCTAGGAGAAACCATTCACCATCACAGTTTTTAGCTGAGCACATGGCACCCCAGGTACACACTGGCTGCTTCGCTGCACCCAGATTTGCTGAGATGGCTGGAGCACAGATAGGTGCTAGAGCAAGACTTCTTTGAAGAAGTTCTAATTTAATTTTTCAGATCCCTAAAGGGGGCAAAGGCAGCCTGAAATAAGCCAGCCAGTCCCCATATTCTCACTTGTGACTCAGGAGGTTCCTCCTCTTTTGCTCTCCCTGGCAAAGTGACAATGAAATGAAGCTGGTTTAGGTTGCTCTATGCCGCTGCGATACGTACAGGAAATTGCTATTAATCCTGCAGCACTAAGTTATACATGGCAAACACTGCCCTGTCCCTCTCCTCAGGGCTAATGACATAAAACGCAGCAAGCTGGTATTCTTCATTTGTGCGAACGTGCTAAGTACAGAAGGTCAAACATACCTCTCCTGGGCACATTACACTATCAGTCCACCAATACTACACATTCTGGGCACCCTTCCGAGTAACAACTCAGGTGGCACCACAGCTCTGACAGAGTGCTCCTCTTGGTTTCAGTCCTGGCCTATCTCTGAGGCTAGGCACGCTTGCAACACAGAGAGGCATGTTGAGAGATCCCATTAGGCTGTCTCTGGAAATGCGCTCAATAGGCTATCTCCAGGTCTCCTGGCAGGACTAACTTTCTACTTTTTTGCAAGCAAAGCAAAGGACTTAGTTTTGAGGTCACTAAGAAATTCCTCACGAGATTAAATGATCCTAATCACGCTCATCCATTACTGTAATCCCTGGGTTAAAGGAAAGCAGCTCCTTCACTATAGTGCAGTTTCTTCTCAGATTGAGCATATCTGCCACCCATGCTAATCCTTGAGTATCCAAATTATCTCTGTTCCCAAGACCTCTAGGAGGGATAAACATAATCATGAACAAAGGCCTTCTTCTAGGTCTCCCTGATTAGCACCATGTACAGCAAAATATATCTCCCAGGGGCTACTACCATCTGCTCAATGGTGAGTGACGTTGCCTGGGAGCATGTCCAGGAGAACTACACATAATGAGATTGATCCATTTACAGAAGCTATTGTAGAGCTCTGGAGGGGAAATGTCTGCCTGCTTGCTGGGGTTTCCTCAAAACTAATTTGCATTTCCTGAAAATAAACAAACAAAATAAAGGCCAAAGCATGTCAGCTCTGCTGCTCGCAAGGCCTCTGCTAAAATGCTGTGTTATCTCCTCATCTCCTTGTGCGAGACAAGGATGATGACTGATGAGAGAGCTGATTTTTTGCATGGACTGCTTCATCTGCCCAAGACCAGCATAAAGGCAAACCACAGAGCTCCCTGGTGCTGTGACTTGCCAGATCACTCCTGGAAGGGGTCACACCACACAGGATTTCTCTTCCACCTTTTGTGTCATTGCAGGTGGCTTGAGAAACAGCTGCTGCACTTTGCTTCACTCTGCTTTGTGCAAAAAAAAGCCTTCTGCAAACTTCTGAGGGCAGATCAACAACACTCAAGGCCATTCAACAGCAGGTGAAACGGCAAAGCCTCATCTGAAAAGCATACAGGCTCTGCTGCTTCCGAAATGCTTCAAGGAGCAGAAGAGCATGTGTGCACTTAATGGGCATCATGCCAGGAATCAAATAAACTCATCAATTCTGACATCTGACTTTCCTTTGACAACTGTTGTCTGTAAAATCATTGCTGCTCGATAATCAAGAGTAACCCCAGAAAACAAAGCTATATTCTCATGTACCTGTTTGCAAAAAGCTGACAGAGTAATTCATATGCCCTGTGGAAAGCTGAAAGCATTTCCATTCCCTTTGGCATGCCAGTGACCTGTGTGCAGGAAGGACGGACACTGGCTTATGAAGCTGTCAAGTCAGCTGTCTCCAGAGAGCCTTGCTGTGCTGAGCTGGCCTTCTCTGGGATAACACTTCAAAAGCAAGGATTCAGGGCTGCTTTGCTGAGAGCTGGGTTGTTAATAACAATAAATACAGAGATCCCCACACAATTATACAGACCACAGTAGCCAGACTTCACTTACAATGGAAGTACAGCTCCTCATCTCCATCCTGGCTGGCTTTACTGTACCCACACTGTCTGCAATGAGAATTAACATTCATATTATTATCTGGGCAACTGCTGTTTCTTCTCTCTACCTGAGGGAGCTGGAAGAGGCTTGTAGGGCATCATCAGCCCCTCTGAAGACCGCCTTGGGACCTCTCACATGGGCTCCAGTTGTGAACTCTACAGCCCTACTTGCATTAAATGCTCTCTGCTTCCCTGTAACTGCTCTGGCACAACAGCCAGGGCTCCAGAGAGCTGCAGCAGTTGGGATGAGTCAGGATGAACTCTGCCAGCCTCACACCTAACCCCAGATCTCTCAGAGCAGGAGCCAGAGCTGTAGGTACCTGCCTGCCAGGCCAGTCTCCTTGCTGTTCTGGGCCAGGCTGAGCGGGGTCAGTGTCACCTGAGTGCCAGCCCTTTCAGTGAAAGCAAGCAGCTTGCTCCTGCTCTGGGCACAATGTCATGGAGTTGCTAATCTGCACTTCCAATTCCTAAGCGTTACCAATCATAAATCATCCTCCTCGTTTTGGGCTCAATTTGGTCTTCTGAGTTAAAAATTACAGGTTGTTAAACTGAAACACCTGTCACATAAACATCTCTTTGAACCATTTCACATGTTCTCGCTGCCCTGACAAGAGGAACAGAAACAGGATGAGCAGCTTAGGAGAGCACAATTATCTGCTTCACGGACTCCCTGTGCAGGGCAGCGCTCCAACTGTCTGGGCTCCACGCACCCTTAGCTGAATCCAGCCAGAAATAAATAGAGACTCTCTTTAAAAAAAGGAAAAAGAGCACACACGAAATCTCAACTCTCAGCCTAGGAGGATTAAAACAGGCATTTTTAAAAAGTGAAAGCTATTCATTTCGACTCCACGCTATGGCAGCAAGTCTGCCAGCGCAGAAGGCTCCGCGTGGGCCCTGCTGGTCAGCGGGGTCTTGCCCGTGCCAGCTGACATGCTCTCCTCAGCCTGTCTGTCCCGGCCCATGCGAGGCAATCACCACGGCACAACACAGCTCCTCAGCTGCAGGAGGGCCGGGGTTCAGTTCTCCTCACGTCCACCCCTCTGGCCCCAAGGGGGTCATAAACCTTCTCCTTTCTGGGAAAAGGAACGAGAACAGGAACTAACAGTTACATAGCACATGGGCCACCATGGTCAGCACATGCTGACCACCACGGGTAGCAGGGCTGGTGGGACCTCTGCCACCACAGCAGCGTGTGCTGGATGTGGGGACAACCATGACGCCTCGGTGTGACTGCGGCGCAGCCATTGCTCACCTTCTCCAGATCATCATGCCAATCACCATGGACACCAGCACCGTCAGCCCAGCAATGGTAACAACGATGATGATCAGGACGGGGTTCTGCTCACTGGAGACCACTGTCACTGCCGGGGAGAAGGAGAAGAGAGGGTCAGCACCACATGCCCCAGGGCAAATCGGCAGGTCTCTGCCCCCAAAAACCCAAACGAACGCACAGAGCGGAGGATATACTTCGAGCTCACTCCTGCCTGCACTGAGGAACAGGATAGGGGAGGTGGCCTCTGGCTGAGGCCTGCTCCGAGCTTGCCACACAAAGGAAGATCACAAATACTCTAGCAAGCGCTAAAGGGAGGAGGAAGAGATGGGCCCCAGCAGCAGATCTCCTCTTGCTCCTGAAGACCCCATTACCCACTCCTTGCCAGCGGAAACGCTGTGTTAAGCCTCAGGACTCAAAGGCACCAAAACTTGAGTGATGGACTCTGGTGCCCTGTGCATGAGAGGACAGGGCCCCAGCCAGCAAGGCCAGCCAGTGTTTTCCCCCCGAGACTGCACGACAATTTCCCCACAGGTGCCGAGCTACCTTTTATCATCCTTTTTTTTTTTTTTTTTTTTTTTTTTTTTTTTTTTTTTTTTTTTTTTTTTTTTTTTTTTTTTTTTTTTTTAAACAATTTACATTCTGATTCAGCTTTGAAAGCTCAAGCCGGTGCAATCGGATTAACGTGCAGGACAGTGCTGAACGCATAAACAGAGCAATCCTCGGATGTCTGCCATGCCAGGCTCCCGGTTTTGTTAGTCAGCTCTAAGGAAATGTCCCTGTTTAGGGAGGAGATATATTAAAATTTATGGCTTACAAATGGTTTTCCTTCATCACGTTAATCCTTTCCTTTCCTGCTTTTGCAAACAGGGGTATTAGAAAGCCACATTCTATATAAAATTTTTATTGGATTCAATTCATTCTGAAAATGTCTTCTGTGTGGTAAATGGATGCAATTTAAAGCCCTGTTAAACACAATCTGTGAGAGTCGTATTGAGCCAGCCATCTCAGGGCTTTCATTTCCAGCCAGGGTGGGTTATTAAACGAAACCCTACGATCTTTCCAAGCCCTCTTTTAGTCAGTGAAATAAGATGCTTCTGGACTATAGTTATGAATGGAAACTGTGAAAAGTAAAAGCCCCAGCAAGTGATACTGATGTTAGCTGACCTTATTGAGCCAAACAGCTAACAAACTAAGTGCCTTATGAACCAGGACGGAGAAGCGGTTCAAGCAGTCATCTCATATCTGGGACAACCATTCAAGGCCAGCTGAATTTCCAAGCTGATCTTTGTCTTCTCTGCTGCAGATTACACAGCCAGCTAACCCTTTCTCTGCAACACTGCTTGAAGGCTGCACGGCTTAGCAGACCAAAGAGCAAGGAATATGCCTTTGCAGCTACACTGGCAGCGACTGACAGTCATTCCCTTCCAACATCTGTCTGATGGCCTCATGACATGCATGTGGCAAGATCTCTTCCAGTATCAACACCATGCCGACGGAAAACAAAACCCCAGTCACTTTGGCTCTACTAAGCACTCTCTTAGGCAATCTCAGTAGAAAACCCAGAGATCATGTCCCTCTCTCTCCATACCAGAGCACAGGCAAAGCTGATGAGCTAGCAAGCTAGCAACCCACACTGCCCTCTGAGAAGAAGAAGGGGAGAAATCCTGGACAGGCAGGCAGCACAAGCAATCTTGTTAAAATAGAAGAGGAAAGTGCAATTAAAAGTAAGTCCCTGGGAAGTACCTGCTGTTAGATCCACAACAGCAAACCAGGCTTACTCAAAGGGGAGGGACTGTAGGCAGAAGAGATGCTGATCCAAGAAACCGAAAGAGTCTCAGGCATCAACAGTGAGCAAGAAGTGTCCCGACTACTCAGTTGAAAGCATCTAATATCTGCTTGGGCACGTGTAAGAGAGATATAGTAAGCCTTGTTAATACTTACACTCTCCTAAGGTTTCCACTTCAATACTAGGGCTGTAATTTCCATAGTCTTGTGAAGATGATGTTCGGATTTGGAAAATATAGAGAGTGCCTGGCTTCAGGTTATTGACCGTCACGGCTGTTGACGTGGTCTTCACAGTTGAGTAACTCTGATCTCTTTGATCCTGTGAGATAATGAAACAGCAGAGATCTAACTGGACTGACAGCTGCGCCATAGAGCAGGCATAGCACAGCTGTATCTTCACTTTGCCTCTGGGTCCCATCAGGACAGGCTATCTAAACCTAAAACCTTCAATAGAAATAATACGTTTACTAGATGTCTCATTAATAGAAATTGCACTGAAAGGTCACATGAAATGGCAGATGGACCAGATGATGCATTATGAAAATAGGCTGAGGAGAGGGCGATGGCGAGCAGCTGTACAACCCAGCAAGGCTCCTTTCCTTCACTTGTGTCTCCCTTGCGCTGCCCCATGCACTGACACTCACCTGCTGGCACAGTCAGGCTGCCTCCACTCCGCTGCTACAGCATACCGCACAGCACACCATCACGACAGGCATCACCCGCAAAGGGCTGTCCCACCGAGGACAAGGCTGTGCACAGACACAGGCACACTCACACACATGCACTGACAGCAGTCCCCTCACTGTCATACTTGCAGAGACTTATGCCCCTGTTTCCTGGAAGAACACTGTATCACAGCATTATTGCTATCCCTGCATGATGGGACACTATCCGTCTATGAAACTTATAAAGATATTAGCAATTTCTTCCTTCAGCTGGCCTGGGGCTTCACACAATTCCTCCTACCCCCAGCACACCAAGAACAGTCAGATGCTCTCAGCAGGTGAAGAGTTGCATGCATGCAGCAGGGAAAGCAACTTCACCAGTTAATTGTGCCTGTCATGGCTCAGGAAAAGGTGCCACACAATGTTTGCAAACACTCTGGCTTAGATTGTTTAATAAAGCTATGGGGAAGATTTTATTAAACTCACTACGCTTCACTGGCACACCTGAAAAGAGCAGTGCTGCTGGAGAGCGTATAAAACAGCCGTGAAACAGAGGGCGGCGTGCCTCCGGGAACGAAAGCTGCTCTGAGCATCAGCAGGGACTCTCTCTTGAGACTAAATAAACGTATATCAGCACACACTGAGTAATCACAGTTGGCAAGTGCATTTGCTAGCAATTCTATTCCCTGGAATTTTATTTGCTTGTCCAGCTACCTACAGAATTCTCTATTTGTGACTAAGGAAGACAGAGACAGTCAGACCCTTTCATGCAGCAATTGCTAAACATCATATAGAAAGGGTATGCTCTGCCTCTACTAGGCTGTATTGATGAAAATTTTGTACTGCAGGAAAAACTTGTATTCTGGTTTTCATGTACTAGAACAGCAGTTCTGAGGGCCTCTACTTCATTCACTTCATTTCAAAAGTAAAACAAACCATAACTTTTCCGTGAGCTTCAGCAAAACTTCCAGTCTTTCTGCACATCTACCATTTCAGGTAATTTTCTCAGCTGTGTCTCAAAAAGGTCACAGTCATTCACACTCATTCCCAAGCTGCTAAGTTTGCCTTTCCAGCAGCAGCTCCAGAAGAGTCCACCTTTCTTGCTCTAGTCATGTTTGCAGCATCACTACGGAACACGTCCATTAGGATGAGCAAAATGCACGCCCGTGACCACGTGCTCAGAGCTCTTTCCTCTCCTTTGTCACTCCTTCGAGACGTGCTCTGCAAAGCCTCAGCACAGGGACCTCTCGGGGGCACTTCCCACTTCGAGTGATGCAACGTCGGGGAAGCAGTAACAGTCCCACAAAGAGGTTATTTGAGGCCAAGTTCCACCAGGGTGGGCAGCTCCCCGGGTTAATACAGCGGAGCCGTATGTCACTGGTTTAGTATCAGTCTCTCCTGGTTTCTCACAGACGTGCGCACTGTACAGTCATTATGTTCAATGATTAGCCTTGACGAGTTTTGTGAGCCCTGCTTTCTGGCATGAATGCAACAACTCGGTAGTAGTTCATTATGCTTCTCCTAGGGCTGGGGATGTTACTGTGAAATGTATTTTCTATTTGATATGCTTTTCCCCTTGAATCTCCATGATAAAAGTATGGCTTTAGAAGCAAAGATTAGGAACTAAGTTGATTTTCACGTCAGCATCAAGAGCCTCATTTCAGTGAATAATTGCTAAGCCATAGTTTAAGTTCCCTATCCGAGCTTAAGGCAGCAGGATGTTTTGTTATTTCACATACACCGTGCATCTCGTTGCTGCAGCCCATTTGCAAAGGAATTACTGTATTATGTTTCAGCATTTGCCCTCACCCACAGATTCCTCCCTTCAAATCTATCAGATGTTGAAGATTGTATTAATATGAATCAGCTTCAAGGTAGCTTGTTTCTAAATAGAGAATGTCAACATGTCACCTGCACAGTTTGCTTGACATGTAATCAGTTTCATAACGAGCCTGAGCACACGCAGATAAGGTAATTTGCGGAACTGTGTCATAAACTGCATTTATTTTGATTTAGAATATCATCCCTGCTCTCTGCCCACTGGTATTTCTTCTAAAATTCTCAATCCACAGCGTCTGTCAAATAACAGCTATTTTTTTAAATTAAGAGACTGTCATAAAAATGTTTGCTTGCATCCCCTCCAGTATGGAAGATCTCACTCACAAATCACTAGTCTGAAGTCTCAGGTTTGGTGGCATTCAGTCCTAAACCAGTGACATCCATAATGTCCAATATTTCTATCCTGCTCTCTCAGAAAGTATCTCATCATAGATCTAGAAGCACTGCATGGTTTAATAGTTCCTGCCCGGCTGGTTAATGGCAAGCACCCACACCTCAGGTTTCTAATATCCTTGAGAAAGGTCATCCAACACATTACATAACTAACTAACTAAATAATTATCAGCTTTACTCTTTCTCCCAGAGAGATGTAAACATTAGGACTCCCAAGTACGGATAAAATTTTGCTCAGAGGGAAGACAGAAAAAACACTAAAATAAACTCCAAAAATAATCTAAATTTCCTAAAACTTGTACAAGCAAATTGCATAATGCTGTTCAAGAGGAAAAGATTTTACTGGCACCCATTTGAAGTGCTCTTGTTACTTACAGGTGCCAGTGAAATCTTCACAGTTCCACAGGCCATGCATACACACACTCACACCCATTTTTCCACTACTGAATATATAAAAGCAGGTGGTTCACTGCAAACAGAAGCGGAGACACATACAGCCAACATCGGTAACAACTGCTCTACAAACAACCAGTCTGGCTGGCTAAGCAGGCAAGAAGCCTCTCTGTAGGGATTAGGGTAGAACTGAAAATATAGGAAACAAGTCTCCAGAGGATCTACCTTTTCATAGTACTTGATTTCGTATTCAGTGTTATTGGCGGTCGGGAAGCCTGGCTCCTGCCACGACAAGGAAACGCTCTTCTGTTCAATTTTATCAGTGCGGATGTCAGTGACAGGAGTTGGCGCTGAAAAAGCAGAGAGAGGAAAGAAGCAGATCACCAGCAGTGCTGCGGCCGCGCGTCTTTCTGGGCGGCACGCGCCCCTCCGCCGAGCCCTCCCCGCGGCCCGCGCCAGGAGGCAAACTGCCCCCCGCAGCCCCTCTCTGCCTGCGTCTCCGACACTCGCAGAGCAAAGAGCCGATGGGGCTGGGGCAGCCTCGAGTCTTGCGGACGCAAAAGGTGTCATTGCACGCTCCTAAACCTACGCGGCATTGAGAACGGCTTACAGAAATAGCAGCATGCATATGGCAGGGTCCTGCAAGTACTTCTGCTTAAAAAAGGGGAGAGCAGACCTGAGAAGAGTTAACTCTTAGCTGTAAAGATCCACTGCCCAACCTAGGGGCTCGGGCTAAGCAGCTCCCAGCTGTGCTACGCTCTTTCTCCTGGTGTTGGGGGCCAGCCTATGAGTAGAGCTAGAAGAGAGGTCAGAGGATCAACATTTTTAGGGGGGGGGGAAGGATATAAACCTAAAATGCATCTAACCTAGGTAATAAACCTAAAAGCATTTAACCTTAATCACCTGGCCTTCGTGTCTTTTCTTCAACAGTATAAACAGGCAGGAGAGAAGACATGGAGGTCTGCCATGCATAAAACATAGGACTACTTAGGATTTAGAGGATAAACCTTAAAATCTCCCCATTCAGATATTTTATTCCCTTCAGTTTATGATATTTTATAATAGCCACTGTTTTGCTTGAAAGCTTGGCACTAGGCAGTCCAAATCTCATAATTCAAGATCTGATAAAATACACAGAAACAAATTGTGTGCTTTTATAAGTTTGGAAGAGAGGAAAAAATTGAGGCCTGCCTGTGGCATCTTAATGTTTTACTCATTGCTAAGTTCCCATTCCAGTATCTGAAACCTGCGAGGAGCAGCCTAGCAGAGCAAGATAAAGGAGATCCTAAAAATCTCGGGTAGAGCTAGCAGAGACCACCATTATACAGTGCAGTTATTCTGAATTTCATTGCTGGTAAACGGGGAACAATTCTGACATTGGTGCCAGCCAGACTGGGACCAGGACCGCTCCAGGCTGCACAGGTAGAACAAGCCATTATTTGGAGAGCACCTCAATTCAAATTCAAATACAGCTGTCAGATGGAGAGCTTTTAGCACAGAGAGGATTGATCTTCACAGTTAATAGTTACAGAAAAGGGCACACCCTGAGCCTAGAGGTGGTTTCAGTTCCCAGTGCTCAGAGGTTCTGAGCAGCCAAAATAGTAAGTGCAACAAGGGTATCACAAGCTAGAAGGAATATTATCTCTATCCTTACATCCATCGCAGCTGCAAGTCCCATTTCAGCATGAACTTGTTCAGTTATGGTTACTTCATTTCTACTTTTGGCCTATACTACCATAGTAAAAACTTTAATAATTTAGAGGGTTGGACTGCATGCCTCTTTGGCTCTCTGAATGAGAGCTGAAATCAGACAAACTCCAGGCTGGTGATCTTCCAGCAGGAGGAGATGGTGGTAAAAATGCACCCACTTTGTAACCTGTGGGCATCTGGCAACGCTCTGTCCAAAAACAAGCAAAAAACTGTGTAGAGTCATTGCACCCTCCACCTGTGGTGCTATGGAGAAGTCAGAGTATTGGCTAATGCTTCAGTGGTCTGTACCTGCTGCTAACAATTTCTGGAAAATGTGAAATATAATCTTTGAGCAGCAGGGCTTGTATGACACACCAGGCCTTCTCCAACCTCCTACAGTCCCCTGGCACAGGCTCTCCCACACACCATCCTGTTTGCCCTCCCAGACAACAGGGAAGATAGGAGAGCTGACTGACTGTCCTACACGCTGCTGAACACGCAAGCTGCGGCCCAGAGAAGCTGGCTGTTTATTTCTAGTTAGCACATGCTACATGCTGAATCTTCCTCCCTGGCATTTGTGCTCCTATTTAGTTCATCTCACTATGCAAGATGCACTTGCCAGCTATTCTCATTTTAACCAAGCTTGGCTCAAAACAAGCTGACTTCTCTGGTATGAAAGCAGGCAGCTTGCTGTCCTCAGCTATCCTCAGGCTCTCTGGCTGAAGGTGAAGCCTTCGCTGTTTGTCACAGCGGACAGCAGAGAAGGGTTTATCTGCTTTGTTCTGCTGCACTGGTTCCTACTTTGCCAGAGTCATCCAACTCTTCCGCACCTTCTCTTTCTCTGACCACCTTTCCATGCCTTCAAGCATCTCAGCTGCACTCACAGTGCCACACGCAAGTCTTGCAATGGATAGGTAGCGGCACTGCCTGTTTTGGATGCTCCTGCTGCATGCAACATCCCAGCAGCACTTCTAAAGCTTCTGCCTCCTGTAGGGGCCAAAAGCCAGCTGGACCTGTCAAACTGTCTGCGGCATCTTAGGAGCTAGGCCAAGGAAATGACATCCTCCCAGACTCCCCAGAGCAAGGCAATAAGGGTTCACACATGAAGATTTGCCCATAGCCAACTCATTGGCCACAAGCTCAGCAAGAGCAGGGAGGAAGAGGCTGCTTGGGATGTGCTACAATGCTAGCGCTTTTGCTGTAGAGGACACTACTCAAGGAAGACACTAAATATTCTAGTAGGAAAAATAAAATCTATAGCTGGTATATTAATAAAAGCTGCTATTAGAGACTCGTTTGGCTCTGGATTATTGAGAAAAGCTGATCTTCTCAGGGACTGAATATGGCAAGTAAGGCCTTCACACCTCTCCTGGGGTTGCACAACAAACTGTTCCAGGAAGACCAGCAGAAAGTCTCCTCTTCGGACGAGGAGGGAATGGGGAACAGCAAAAAAGCCTCACATAACTGGCCAGCACGGGCATTTTAACTAGTGCCTGTGATTCTTGGGCTCTCACCAACCATCATCCTGTCCATTTCTGGAAGTCCACAATCCTGGCACAAGGAATGATGCTTCCTATATCACCCTGTTAAGCAAGAGAGGCAAGAACACATCAGAGTCAGTAATGACTGACTTACCCATGTACACTAGCTGCTTGAAAGAAATCCCCTCCTCTGGTGGCTGTCCGTAAGCCAGCTCCTGGCTGGGGTGTGCTCCCTGCAGTAGGGGCTGTAACTCAAATTCCACGTCCACAGTCCTTGATGTCTCCTTCTCCCTGCCTTGCTTTGCTCCTATCCAACAGTATGTCCTGTCAGTGCCGCTGCTCTGCAATCCAGAGTTACAACTTAGCCAGGCTCTAGCTGTGACACCAATTTGCTAAATGGCTCTTTGCAAGCGGTTTCACCTTTAATACTCATTCTCCTTGTCTAAAAAAGAGTGGAAATATTTTATAGCTTGCAGGACTGCTGTAAGGCTTGTTCAGTTGACATAGTCATGCCTGGCCTCAGGTGAAGGGGAAGGTTTGTCAGGTCAGGGTAAGAGCATCTCCACATCCTTCCGTTACCTGGCCCAAGGGCTGGCAGCACCCAGTTAACAGCCTGTCTGTGGCAGGCATAGGAGAAGTTGCAGGGGAAATTAGCTGCTTCTAGCTTGTCCTGCTTCTCCATCAAATCAAGACATTTGCTAGACCCTGACTATCCCACAGGCTCCTGTGGAGAGGAACAAGTTCCTGGAAAGTAAACTTAAGTGTCTGTGAAATTTTGTATTTATTACTTAGCTCATTAATCTCTGCTGAAGGAAAAAGTTCTCCTGATGTTTTATTCATGATGATTTGCTCCTTGCTTCTAAGTCCTTTCAGCTTCTACCGAAAGAGGCAAAAAGCCAGCTGGAGGACCTGAACAGCAGCCCAAGACACATGAAGAGCTCATCCCTTAGGACCAAGGTGAGTCACTGGGCTGCAAAAAGCCCCAAGTCTTTACTCTGTCAGGCAGCCAGGAAGGTAGCACCTTCCCAGTAGTGCAGGTTAGTCTTTGTCAGTCTTGCAAATGCACACTGACCCACGCACATAAATACAAACACACACGTGCATGCTTCCAGCTCTGGAAACCAGATCAGTAAGGCTAATCCCCACCACATGCTTTTGGTGTCTGAGTGAGCGCACATAACTGTGTCTTACAAAACGTCAAATGATACAGCCTGTTAAGCAGCAGGCTGACTTCAGCTTAAATTTTGCTCCTGTAATCTAAAGTTAAGTGCTCCTTGCTGTTTTATATGATGCCCATCAATAAAATATCACAGAGATGCCCTCCCACATCTCGGAATCTAGCAAACGTTACTTGGTCCCAGTCCTTCTCCTTTCCAAGGAAACTAAGGAAATTCAAAAGGACTTTGATCAGCAGTGAGCAGGGTATATTAATAACAGGTATCGTTAAGGACAGACCGATAAAAACTGAACAAGTGGTCCTGATTGTTAACAAAGTCATCAGGAAAAATCACACTCACCTAGTAACCTGCTGCACAGCAGAATTCATACTACATGCCAGAAAAGAAGGTACTAGCCTCAAATATGTTTAAAAGGGATTAAAGAAAATCATACAGACTATAAAGCAGTTCACATTGTGAAAAAAGTGTCTCCCATCAATATTTTAAATTCCCCTAACAGTGGCTCTATTCTGAAAAAGCAAACATTAAATTATTCACCATTCTGCTTGATTTTATAAACTCCGTTCCATTGTACACGGTTTTGCTCCTCTTAATTAACTCTTGCACTAGCAGAAAAGGCATAAAATCAGGTGTGGGCACTGTATCCCTCCACTGAATGAACTGCCATATCTGAAATGGGGATGTCTAGAGGGGACACGTGGCAATGTCCTTGCAAACATCAAGGGTCCATATGGCCTGTTTGCCCAGCTGCCCCGAGGACAGGATGGGACTTGCATACATTGCAATAAGCACCTCTAAGCTATTTCCAGAAGGATCATCGAAGTGCCCGAAAGCGCACTGAGATGACTTTTCCTAGGGAGTCCTCCTATGCTTGCAGGCAACTACTCTGGGAAGGAGCAAGGGTTCCCTAAGGCATGGGGGATGCTGAGGGAGCACAACGTGCTAGCTGGGCAAAGCAAGGAAGGACAAGATCACCAACTCAGAAATGCACTACGGGAAGGG